TCATAATCTTCTGATTTATCTTCAAGATTATTTACAACCGTTGTCAATTTCTCGATTTGTTTTACATTTTGGTTGACCTGTTTTTTGGTTTCTGTCATCTGCGTATTAACTTGCTCAGTTAATTTGTCCATTTTTTCTTGTAGCGGCTCTAGTACTTTCTCTATGATCATGGCCATATTTGCTTTAATTGCCCCGTCTATAGCAGGGGGTATGGCTACACTAATTGCCGGAGGTATAGAACTTTATGTTCATAATCTTCTGATTTATCTTCAAGATTATTTACAACCGTTGTCAATTTCTCAATTTGTTTTACATTTTGGTTGACCTGTTTTTTGGTTTCTGTCATCTGCGTATTAACTTGCTCAGTTAATTTGTCCATTTTTTCTTGTAGCGGCTCTAGTACTTTCTCTATGATCATGGCCATATTTGCTTTAATTGCCCCGTCTATAGCAGGGGGTATGGCTACACTAATTGCCGGAGGTATAGCTACACTAATTGCATTTTCAACGGCCAGGTTAACTGCTTTTTCCACCGCCTGGTTAACCGCCTTTTCTACTGCCTCTTGTATGAGCGCATTTAGTTCTTTCGGGTTAACCTGCATCGCCTGTGTCTGTGCCTGTGCCTGTCCAGGGGCAGAAAAGGATGGTCTCCTTGCTCCTGAGGCCATTTTTTTTTGTATTTTAATATTTGTTATCTGTTGTTATTAATATTTCTCTTCTTTACCCACACTTTTCCTTACCTATTAACTTACTGCACCATTTAATGAATAACGAGTCTTTTGATACCGACCCTTTTGTTGCCCACCCTTTACCTTAGTGCTGTAGATTTATCCCCCCCCTCAATGAGTTGGATATACCTGTACATACAAACTTATCACAACCCTGATCTATCCAAACCCCCAAGAATGTCATTGACGGCTCTCCATTGAACTATCAGTTGATCAATAATCTATCAATTCATCAATATCAGTTATTCAATTAAGCCATTAGTTAATTAGTTAAGTTAGAACCGTTAGTACCGTTAGTAAATTAGTAAGTTAGTAAATTAGTAAGTAAATCAATTAATTAGTAGATTAATAAATAAATCAATTAGTCAATTAGTCAATCAATCAGTCATCCAGTTTGTTCAGTTGCTTGGGTAGTTCATTGATGGGTTAGTTGGTCCAACCGTCCGTCAATTGGTCAGGCAATCAGAATAAATCAGAATCAACTGTTCACATTTCAGATCTTCAGACTCAATTTAGCGCGGTCCAAGCTTAATAGATTTAATTACAACTGCTCTTCAGACTGGTATGTTCGGTAGAGGCCATTTCGCCGATCCCTTTCTTTTGCCCTTCTTGCCGTGCCGTAGCTGTTGTGTCCTCAATCTTCAGTCGCTGTCTCTGTGTACACAAGGTCTTTTCGCGTCTCCCGTTCCCTTTTCACCTTCCTTAATCTTCTCCACCAAGCTATAATGTGCTGTATTGGCTGTGCCGGGTGGTATGCTCATGCGATACAGCCGCCCGCTATTTCTCTTCGTCTCTGCTTCCACCTGATCTGCACGGGCATACACTGCTTCTGCCTTCCAGCTACATTCAGGTTATACTCGGGACCATACAGTCCGTACAGTCCAGCCCTAATAATGTCCGATCACACCTCTTCTGAGTAATACGGTACCGTTCACCTCTTCCGCGTCTCCGGCTTACGTCACTGCTGTGCGCTGTTCTCTGCCGCTTATTTCCAGTACGCAGCCGTAAGCCTCCTCTTATGTGCCTCCTTAAAGCGAACGCCACTCTTTTAAACGGAAAAAACGTTTCTTTTACAAAAAGTAAGTTTGCCACCTTATTTGCAAATAGTAGACGAGGTTCTGCCGTTCCGGTAGCTCCGACTTTGCCCCTCTCACGAGAGGCGTCTCCATGGACCTGGGCTTTGAGGTAAGAAGGTATGCCGCCGCCGGTCGCCACCTGCCGCTTCCGTTCCTTCAGCTCCCCTTGCCCGAATCCCTCTACAAGGGTTTCTCGGTGGTGGTGCCAAAAAAAGAACTTTGCACAAACACCACTCCAAAGTCCAAGAAGTTCGCTGCTGGTAGAGCTTCTCTCTACCCCGCCTCGTCTTGTCGCGCCATGAACCGGAAGTCAACAGCTAATGTAGCCAGTCCTAATGAGTTTCTGCTGTTGGGTGTGGCCTATTATACTAATGAGTTCCTGCTGGGCATGGCCAACTCGGGAGCCAGCCGGAACTCCGTTCCTATGCGTTCCTGCCCAAAAATAGCCCTGTGTATAATACTGGTGACTTCTGTAATATCTCTGTATAGTATTAGTGAAGACCATGCAGTGGGTTGAATCCAGCCCTCCTCATCCAAATGGAAGGTGGTTTTTCTTGTGTGACCATGATTTCTGCAATTTCCCCCATCCACCTGCAGTCTCTTGTAACACACCTTGCATCATTTCCCATTCTTGGGGGTCTCTAGACATTCTGGCATGGACCTTTTGAGTCACTGCAGTGACTCTGAGGCAGGGGGAGGTTGTGAAAGCTATATTTTATGATTAGAGCTCTGCTCACAGTTCTTAGGATCTGCCTAATGGATGTTTCTGGAAATTGTCATCTGTAATGAACTAATGATACTGACTGTATACTTTCAAGATAGTCAGATTCCCAGATAATTTGTCTGCCACTTTTTTTGTTGCTTGTACGACTGAGAAATAGATGGAATTTATATCATGGTGGCTTTCAAATAGGTTGTGGGAAGCACAAGGAAGACAGTATAAGGGTACAAAAAGTAAGATCCAGTATGCAAAAGTCATTGTGTAGTTTTTGTTCTGGCTAATACATGTGTCAGTGTAACAAAGAAAAGGGGTTGTATTCTGGGAGAAATTTTCCAGATGTCTTGATGCTCAGGACAGCAGCTCATCCTATAAGAAATGCACTGCTGTGGAGACTCCTGTCCAATGAGCTGACCAGTGGAATCAGGAAGCACACGATTTTTAAAACGATATTTGAAGAGCCAATCCAAAACCAGATCATGAAACTCTATCTATTACAATACTAGCTAGACGTTCAAGCTTCATTAGTTTTCTGCTGCCTCTTTTTACTTCCTTGTAGAGCCTGGTTATTGTAGTCATTGTTGATGAGAACACTAATGCTAAGATGCAAGAGTCACAGCCTTACTTAGTAAACACTCTCCTAACTAGATGCAAAGAGGACCAGTGGCTGCCCTTTTAAGTAGTTTAATGTCCCTTGATGTAGCAGTCTTTGCTGCAAAGACCTATACTTGGATGTAGATCTGTTGAAGGGTAACAACTCGGGGGGGGGGGAAGAGAGAAAGAGGGGGGAGAACGTGGTTAGTGTGAACTTAAAAAATATTTTTTAGGAATACAGAAAGCATCTGAGTCCTTATTGTCATAACCTCCTGGTGTATTTTTTCAGCTGAAAGATATGTTTCCTGGTTTTCGATTGGCACTTCCACCAAAGCGCTGGTTCAAAGATAATTACAACCCTGACTTTCTGGAAGACAGACAGCTGGGACTGCAAGCATTCCTACAGAATTTAGTTGCTCACAAAGACATTGCTAATTGGTAGGTGATGATTTATTTTATTTATTATTTCTATTTGTATCCCGCCTTGCTGGGCACGCTGGCTCAAGGCGGCTAACAGTTAAAATAACGTAAACAATACAGAGTTAAAACGATTAATAAACATAATAGAAAAAAAACCAGCAACAGTTTACAAGTAAAACCAACAGATGATGGCGACAGCTGGCGTTTCCTGCGCGCCCAATCGGGCATGCAAAGCCTTCAGACTCCCTGCATTTAAAGGGGCCCTTTAAGTGCAGGAAGCTGGCGTTTCCCCATGCGCCCATCGGGTGGGGGCAGACGTCCCCAACGTGACATCACGTCAGGGATGCCCCACCCCCTCTGGGAACGCTCCCCAAAGTCCCCTGCTGGGGGCTATAATGGACTTGGCAACCCTACTGTGTTGGGAAATTCCTGGAGATTTTGGGGGTGGAGCCTGGAGAAGGTGCTGTTTGCGGAGGGGAGGGACTTAACACTGTATAATGCTATAGAGACTAACTTCCAAAGCAGTCATTTTTTTCCGGGAAACTGATCTCTGTCACTTGGGGACCAATTGTAAATCCAGGATATCTCCAGATACCACCTGGAGGTTGGCAACTCTAGCTTGAAGATTTGGCATAGCGATGGACACAGGAACAGTTATGGAGCAGGAGGAAAAGAGGACATGAAGCTACAGTTGAGACAGTGCTCTAAGAAATGGGGGGAGAAATTGGATGGCTACTGGAAGTCAGTCAAGAGAGGAGGGAAAAGAAAATGAGAACACACAGTTGTCTGGGATTAGAGGAGCAGCCATACTTTGCCTGGTTTAGAATGGTGAGCATAGTCTTGGTACCCAGGTGCAACAGCATGATGGTGAAGGGCAATTGTTGTGGTCAGCTGACTAAAATTCTGGGCTTCAGAAGCCCTCCTTTAAACTCCAAATTAGCAGGTTTTCTGTTTGTGTGATTTGAAAGGAAAGGTCATTGAGGGTCACTCTGGGATTAGTGGCCATGATGTACAGAAGATGCCTCTTTCTTTGTTTTATCCATGAAGGGAGTTTGATTGCCCTGTTTGATGGCTTCGGAATTTTTCTAAATATGTAGGAATGTGTTTCAGTAGCCCACAGGCACTGGTCATCCTGCCTCTGCTTTGGGAGTGATCTCAGTGAGTCAAAAGAGCCCTTCCACCAGAAGGACTTCACAATTTCCTTGTCTCCATACATTGAGTCTTTTTAATGACCTTTGGGGTCATTTAAAGTTCTCTTGACTTTGGCAAGATAGAGCCTTAACTGTGCTATACCACTGTCTTCTAGAACACGTGTGCCTTTTTGGGGCAACAGTTTGAAAGGAAAAAAGGGAAAACCAATAATGCCATTGCTCCCTTAAAGTCTTCATAATTAAGTCCTAAATTTTGATTGGACTCTGCTGATCCAAGTGTATTTAGCATTGGAACTCTAGTCATATGGTTACTCATTAAGCATATTAACTATAAGAACATAAAAGAGCCTTGCTGAACCAGATCATCTAGTCCAGCATCCTATTTCCAACAGCAATTGCTGTTTCTCCCTGAGATCTAATATTCAGAAGTGTTTTGTGTCTGATCATGAAGAGTTCATGTATTGAAGATATATTCATACCTCATTATCAAGTATGGTTGTAATACAGTTTAAGAAAATTTAAGAGGTTAGTTTTCGTAGTTTCATACTGTGTGTGTTGTAGTCCAATCAAGCGCTGCATACCCACAGCCTGCCTTAAAAAGCCCAATTGATATTTTAAATTCATTGATTGTAAGTAAAGGATATTGTACTTTTTATCATCCTTCCACATAACAGCTTTGCTGTACTAGCTACTGGATACATATTTGTGTATCAACATTGAGCTGTAATTCAGTAGTCTTGTCTAAATGTGTTATGGAACAAGTTAAATCAAGGGTGAAGAGCATAATGCTTTCCTATAATAAGTTGTTTTAAAAGAGCCATTTTGCAACCTCATTCCACAGAATTTCAAAAGAGCAGTTCAACCATGAAGAGATGGTCCACTGTAAATATGTTTGGGAAGGGTCAGCTATTGTACCTGTCAAATGAACCAAAGTAGTAGAATCATTTCTGATTTTTAGATAGGTTGTTATAAACGCTATGAGTGGGAAAGCTATGCTGGCTTTAGTTTCCCCATCCACTGCTAATTGACAAGCTTAGAATCCTGCAGATTTGATGATGCTGTAATAACTCCCTGGTGACTGTCTTTGTGTTAAAATAATATAATATAGATATCCCATGAAGAGCTTTCTGTTTTTAGGGCCTTCCTACAGTTCTAGACCTTTCCACATACTAGCACCCTGAAAAGATATATATGTATTTACTTACTTATACCTTGCCTTTCTCCCCAGTGGAGATCCAGAATGGCTTACACTGATCTCTTCCATTTTATCCTGGAAATAATCCTCTGAGTTAGGTTAGCCAAGGTTACTCAGCAAGCTTGTGTAGCAGAGTGAGGATCTGAACCTTGGTGCCCCAGATCCTTGTCTACCATTCCAGCCCCTACACCATATTGTCTCTGTCTCTCCAAGAACTTGCAGAATGATGCCATGCCCCCTGGGTTATACTTTGAGTATCAGCCGTGCTGGTTTTCATGTGCAGAGGGATCCCTTTTCCTCAGGAATTCTTCCACACAGCCAAAGATGCACAACTTCTGCTAGGCAATAGTACACTGGAAAGTACATAAAAGTGGCATCTAGAGCCCAAATTATTTTGAAGTTCCACTATGACTCATGTAATACAGGGCTTTTTTAAAAATCAGGAAATGAAAGATTTGTACACTCCAATAATTAAGCACTTTAGGCCTTGCAAATAAGTCCACAAGTTACTAGCCCACATAAATGTTTACTAATCCAGCTGCTCCTTTGAGTGCTACTGCAAATTATTTGTGGCCCATTGATTGTCTTGGGAGAGAAGGAACTTCCAAATCTGTGGGAGGCAATTGTTGTCCCTCAGAATAGCAATTCTTAACAATTCTGGTGTACACACAGAATGGGTTTTTGGATAGGGGTATATGGATTTGGTACAATAAATACCAGACTCTGAAAAGCTGCTTTAGGCTTATCCATAGGTGGGTGTTAGGAGGGGCTATGGGAACAGCTGTGATGGACTGCACTGTAAAAGCTCATGAATGCTGTATAAACAAGTCTTGGATCCTCAGAGAGCCTTGAGTGACAGGCTGTTAAAAGGGATTGGATTGGTTAGCATCGGTTGAGCAGAAAGACTTGGGAATTGACTACTGAGGAGAAGTTATTTGGAGTTTAGCACTGACTGAGGACTGGGAAGGTTAGCAAGGAGGAGAGGGAGGATCACTGAAGACCGCCATTCGAGCCAGAAAAAGGGATAGATCTAGTTTAGAGAAGTAATTCCCTGCCCAGTTGAAAACAGAGGTAGCTCTAAAGAGTGGAGGGATCCCTGGTTTGTTTAGAGAAGAGATTTGGTAGTGTATCTCTGCCTTCTGAAACTTGAAGAGTAAGTTAAACTCAAGAACGTACACTGGAGTGTTTAGCAAACACTGAAAATACAGCCTCTCATCTCAAAGATTCAAAGACTTCATAAAAAGCTTAAAACTCTTACTAGATAACTTTGCTATCACACTGGGTTGTTGATGTGGGTTGGTAGAATATAATAGGATTGTGGGTTCGTAGAATATAACAGGATTTAAACAACCCTTAATATGAACTTGAATAGTAATATAATTTTGCTTTTATAAGTTGTTGTTTCTTTTCCTTCTGAAGACAAGGTATAATTTAGGCTACAGCCCTAGCCAATAGTGTGCTCAAAAGGGAATAGAAATGAAATTCATTGTATGAAATTGAGTTAATATCGGAGTTCTAATAATTTTGGCATATGGGTACCTGAAACTGTAAATGGAAACAAGGACCCTAGCAGGATGGCTAATATATAATTTAATGCAAAATAAGCGGTATGAAAATAAGTACAGATTTGGAAAGATCTGTAGGCCAATTAAATTTTTGGTCAGGAGAATGAGGATCAGTTATAAAGAATGTAATTAATTAATTAATGTGGTGTGAAATATAAGTATTAATTGGAAGGGGGTTGGTGGGTGGAGGGATTCACGTGTGTTATGTGTTTGTGTTTGTTTTGTTTTTGTTTTTGTTATTTATGTGTCAAAAACCCAATAAAAAGTGTGTGTGTGTATGTATGTATGTAAATAAAAACCTCTTACTTGCCGGAAACATATTAACTGGAGTTTGTGACTTTACTAAATCACCTCAGAGTTATTATTGATTCACCTCAGACATTTTATCTCTGATGTCATGTGACATTTTCCCCTCTGCATTGAATAAAGTATTTTGTTTATTTTTGCACTTTCAAAAGCCGCTCATGTGCCATTTTCAGAAGTATAAGTTAAGGAGGTGATCTTGTGTCTTCCTTCAAGTCCCTGGGATGAGCCAGCATCAAAATATAATAACATGACAGGGTGGGCCATCCATAATCCTTCAGATAAGAAGCAGCTGTTTACCAGAAAGGAAGGGAAAATGGAGGGAAAATCCTGCCTGGGAGGAAGGGAAGAGGGCAAGATCACCATAACAGCAAATCCTCATGTTTCATCTGTAGCTGCTTTTGCATTTCCTCTTAGTTTTACAAGTTTGCTATGTGGCATAGAGGGCTTGCTGTTGTATTTCTCAATTTTTGGAACCCCCTTGGGTGCCTGGAATTAATTGGCCTTTCTTTGATTCCTAGACAGTGTTACATTTTCTATTCAGATTCATATTTACATGTGCCAGTTGATTTAAACTATACATCATTTTAAAATCTGGTTGCTTGTATCCTTCCTAAATTTCCACTGGCTCAAGAGGGGTGGGATTTTCAATGATTTCCCTCTCCTTTGAAGAGATTGCTGATTCCCTCCAAGCTGTTCTTGGAGGAAGGGTCCCCCATTTCCCAGGAGCAGCATTTGGGGAGTATTTTGGGGTCCTGTAGAGGGGGGACCCCAAAATATTCTCCAAAGGCTGCTCCTGGGAAATGGGGACCCCCCCCCCAAGAACAGCTTAGGGGCTGCAGTGACCCAGTGGTTAAGACACTGAACTGCAGAATGAAAGGTCGGTAGTTCAGCAGTTCGAGACCTGAGTTCTGCAGTTCGAGACCTGAGCTCTGCATGACAGAGTGAGCTCCTGTCTGTGGTCCCAGCTCCTGCCAACCTAGCAGTTCGAAAGCAAGAAGGTAACAGCGTTCCATGTGCCTCGGCATCTAGTCATGCCGGCCACATGACCACAGAAGCGTCTTCAGACAGTGCTGTCTCTTCGGCTTGGAAACAGAGATGAGCACCACACCCTAGAGTCAGATTTGACTGGCTTTCAAGCAAGGGAAACCTTTACCTTTTAGAGGGGGGAAATCAGCATGGAAATTCTAGGCAGGATCTAAGCCAGTGGGTTTCTTTAGACTGTTAGTTCATCTTTATTTTGCCTTTTCTTCCCCTATCAAACAGTTTCACAAAAACATAAGAAAAAATAAAGGGAAACATACTTATTATTAACTCAAGTAGTTCAATACAGTGATTCTTTTAATAGAACAAATTGCTACATTTCAAAGAAGCATCGTATTTTAATATGCATATTCATTGGGCTATTCTATTTTGGATACTAATATCTCTTTTCTGCCATCTCTTTTTTTCTAAGTCTTGCAGTAAGGGAGTTTCTTTGTTTGGATGATCCACCAGGGCCTTTTGATAGCCTCGAAGAGAGCAGGGTAAGTAATCTGTTGTTACAAAAATCGACTAACTGCACTCTTAAGCCTGAGCTTTGCCTTAACAGTGTTCTGTAACTGGGTTGGTTTTTTAACAGAAGAGCGCATATTTGTTCTTTGTTTACCACAGACACAAAAATATGTCTCCATGGGAAAAGAGACAAAATGAATAATCCATAGATTCTGCATTAGTACCAAAAGAACACCAGAATATGCAGAAAGACAGAGCCAATAATGATGCAGAGATTGCTGAAAAGACAAGGAGCCCAAGGGCAGGAAAAGGAATGAGGAAGTAATAAGAAATAATTATACAGAATTTCACATTCTTCTAAAAATGTCATTGGCATTCTTCCGTTTGCCTCACTTGTCATTTAGTGTCAATGAAACTGAATGATTTCTTTACCCTTAAATTTGTTTCTTTTTCTGAACTTTGATCAATTTATCACTTGTAATGAGTGTCAGTCTGGATGTCTCAAATTCAAGTCTCTCTGCTTTGTTAATGCTGCTTTTCATCTGTTTTGATCTCAATTACTGTTGAGCTTTCTTAACTGGCTCGTTTCATATTTTTGGAAAACATTTTTTCACATCTATTATAGTTTATCCTCTCCACTCAGAGTGACATATATAGTAAAGGTAAAAGTTCCCTTGCTCGAAAGCCAGTCGAATTCGACTCTAGGGTTGCGGTGCTCATCTCTGTTTTAAAGCCGAAGAGCCAGCGCTGTCTGAAGACGTTTCCGTGGTCATGTGGCCGGCATCACTAAACACCAAGGCGCACGGAACGCTGTTACCTTCCCACCATGGCCGGCTCGCCCGCTAGGCGAACTAGGTGCTCGCCTAGAGCGCGCCGGCGCTCAGGGGCGCCAAACTGCGCCCCCACCCCACCATCCGCCGCTGCCGCCGCCGCCCTAACTGGGCGATCGCCGCCTCCCTCCACCTCCTGC